TTGGTCACCTTGCTGTAGAATTCTGAGATTTCAAAAACTGAATGTTTGGTTTTGCATGGACTGGCTATGGTCTGTTTGGCAAAGTGCTGATCTTTGTGTACAAAGTTCTACTTTCATGAGCAGAAGATGTAGAAATCCAAGGCACATGTGAAAATCTTTAATTACACATGCAGCTTATTGGACATGCTGAAATACTCATGGGTCGTGATATTTCTTGAGAAATGGGRCTATTTTTTCCATTTATTAATTGATACTGCTGCTGACATGATGCCACGTGACCCACTGTTTTGGCCACAAAAGCATATRGTCTACAGCATATTTCAAGACACGTTAAAGAACATTAGCACTCCAGTCAAGGAATAAGAATTGGCTGAGTCCATACTTTGTCCGTGTGCAGGAATACGCTGTCCCTTTCCCTGTCGTGATCCATGCAGCTTGCCTTGATTTTCTGGTGTCTTGCTCCAGGTGAAGGCAAAGAGACGGAAATTCAGGTACCGATTATGGAAGCAAAAGCTGTGCACACAGGATAATCTGTTACTTCCTCAGATTCTGTGGTGGGTGTATTGGAAAGGAGTCTTAGCCTTGTAATTCCTGCAGTATTGTCCTGAAAACTTGATTCTTCGGAGTTGTCAGATCTCCAGGGACTTCATCCAGAGCAGCAAACCATTCCATTCCTTCCGAGGGCTTGGCACCAGTGAGAAAGCCGACTGCTACATACTAATAATTTGTAAATAATAGTGCTTGATTTTGCTAAAGGAACTGAGGCTTCAAGGGAGCTTTGTCAAACGTACTGCGCTTGTGGCCTGCGCCGGCCACGCAGCCCCCTGCCTGCATACCCAGAGTGGAATTCACCTGCCAAAAGCTTTGGGACAGTTACAAGGAGGTTTAAAAGGTGTAGAGAATATGAATAAAGGGTAGATGCTCATTCTTATCCTCCCAGACTATTTTAACCTCACTGAACATTGTTATCTATAAGATAAATTGCCCAAAGTGGTTTCAGAGTGCAAACTACTCATTGAAAAGTGATTAAARTTGGTTTTCAGTTGCTGTATACCTTGTTTGTAGAGTCCCACAAAAAAAAAAACAAAAAATCCAAAACATGAAATATAATCATGTTGGTCCTGTTTAGCAGTTGTATGTAATTATAAGATGACCAGTCTGSTGACATGGATTCAGGTGACTTTTTCGTAGAGAGGAAATGTAGCTCCTTCCTGGGAGCTGGGCTGCAGCTGAACACTAAACTCCCAGGAAATAAGAGTCTAGCGCAGATTTCATGATCTAGAATCCTTGTTTTGGTTTTCTGGTTTGGTAGTTCGTTTGTTTGTTTTTAGCTTGGCTTTTCACTCAAACAACAACATACATATTAAGAAGAAAAGGCTTCCATGGATTCAAAGCATAATAAAAGCTGGAGCCTTTTGCCCTCTCAGCTGAAGTACTTTGCAGAGTGCAGTTCTCTCCCTGCAGCGAAGACGAGAGAACAGACAATCCGTGGCAGATTATTCATATTCCTTGGGTCCTGTGACGATAAACATTGTCCACGCTGAAGAACTGGTATTACACTAAAATAAAAAGTGGAAGTCAGGATTGCCCAATATGTTTCTTTATTCCCAGAATTAGAAATCACTTTGTTTCTTTTGTACATTAAAGTATGCTTTTATAACTGAAGACAAGTCTTTAGAGGCTCCCAAATCAGTTGCAGACTTTCTCAGGGTGAGTCCAAACACAGTTTGAAGACTTCCATGGAATATGAGTGGACATGTTCCCACAAAGCCACAACTCATCTAAACTGAAAACAGAGTATTCTGTAAGCTTATTTTGGGAAAGGTGCTCATATATTTACTATTGAGAGTTATTTTTATTCATAGCTTATGTAAAAAAAAAAGACGTCCGCAGGGAGTATGGATACTATTTTTAAGCTCTCTCTCGTTCTTCAGCTTGTTTTTAATTTAAGCCCAAGCTGGGGCGTAGAGCGCCCATGGYGGGGGCGCTGCGGGATGGGCGCCCGCCTGGCTGAGAATCCCGCGGGACAGGGACTGCCGGGATGCCGGGTGCCCCCTGCCCGGCTCGTCCGGCGCCCAAGGGAGCTCCYGGGGCTCCCCCCGGGAGCCAGGGACCCCGTGTCCCTAGGGAGCTCCCTGGGCGCCGCTCGGGTCCGTAGCGAGATGAGCTTTGAGAGGCTTGGGGATCAATACGCGCAGGTCGGATTTATTAAAGCCCTTTTAGACTTCTGCCCTGGCCTGGCTTGCAGGTGCTGGAAGGAGGAAGAGGATGGCAGTTACAGGTGTTTCGTTAGTTCTTTCTGTGTCTCTCCGAAACCAGGTAATTTGTAGCATCGGGCATTTTTATTTCAGCTAGGATTAAGATAGTAGAAATTGGGGGAAGCTCAAATCAGTGCTGAGTGCAGCTGATGGAAAAAATTCCCATTGATCCAAGTTGTTTTAGAGCAACGTGTCTTGAAACCATTTACCCTTTGAATTCTTCTTGGTGCCAGATAGACTCTCCTTGAGATTCRTTAGAAATGAACCATGTAAGTCGTGTGGTTTAGCTATCCAGTTCTGGCAATATCCTAGGAATATAGTCCAAACCAGTGGAGGCAAACCAGTTGTTTTTAAATTATTACATGTTTGGAGATCCAGAATYACCTACTGCACTAAAGCTGTGTTTTGTGCTTGTTTTTAAATACAGCAAACAGCACCACCTTTCCCTAAGTCCCCCGTAGTAGTTGGTAACCACAGACAAATACTTTCCCAGCTGCATTTTTACATGTTATCTAGATCAAGGAGCTGAGGCTTTGCCTCAATTCTAAGTATAAACAAATTGTTGCCTGAAGTAAGGGCTGTCTCTATTTATTATATTTGGTAATATTTTCATACCTCATTCTCAGTTTCTTATGAAAATCACAATTCTTGTTGTCTTTACGGAAGGATTCTGTGAAGTGAAGAAATATTTCTGAGCTGTGCAGAGCTCTCCCGACCTGCACGGAGGCATCGAGTGCTCCTCAGCATTAAGGCATCCAGCACTGCACTAAAAGGGTAAAACACTCATGGGTGCAGGGACACGTAGTGCCTCAGTCTTCGTTTTCGCCTCACCATTTTGTTACGCCCTACCGAAGCAGCCGAATGGCTACTCCAAAGCACGGGAGACCGGCACAGAGCAGCTGACGTGGGATTCATTGCTGTGTGTGGCCCGCGCCCGGGCGCCTCGGCCTCAGTGTGGCTGTGGGGACGGAGGAGACGAGGGCAGGGATCTCCTGACAGCAAACTAATCCAAAATCTTCCAGGTAGACCTCGCTGAGGTGTAGGAATGGCTCCTATTTCTGCCAAAAAGCAACAGCGGTGAATTCCAAATGTCTCGTACTGTTATTAGAACACCAAATATTATTCTTTAACAATTGCTTTCCAYACGTACTGGGGTTTCGATGACACTCGCATAGTGCGGATGGTGACAGCATGAAGGATTATTCAAGGGTCTAACGATTATGATGCCATCCTTGTGTAGGGAAAAGGTATTTTTTAAGGTATTTTTAGTATCTTTTTGTAAAAATAATAAATTGCTTTCGTTTAAGTGGACAGAATTATATTCTTACACTCCAAAAGAGGCACAAAAGAGAGTCCCTGCTGTAATGGGAAAATGCCCAAAGTGGCTCAAACATGGAGAAGCTCCATTAACATATTTGTAAAGGAGAAGTTTCCTTTCTTGGATTTTGTGGCTCGTATGTGCCACGATGTAATGCGTTTTACAGTGCTTCCATTGTCCGTTACTGCAAACATGTCCAGATGAATTCAGCGCTTAATGTTAAGAATCTTATAACATGCCAGTTTGATTTGTAGCCCTTCATATCATGGAATGCTAATTAAAATCATATTTTTGCATATGTCATGCCTTTCATGTACATATGCAAATAGATTCTATTGCCTTTCAGCTATTAGTAATTAACTTTATGAAGGACAGCTGTAATACATAATTAACAAAAATGTTTGCAAGCCCTTTTCACACTGGAAGTTACAGCAGTAAAATTTTTGCTTATCGAGAGAACCATTTTAGTTTGCAGTGTCAGTCTGATATCTAAATTGTTTGAAGCAGTCACATGATGTAATTACATTGATTTTATGGTCTTATCAGCAGAAGAATGGTACTTGGTAGGCTGCTATCTGTTTCACCACATATTTCACCAAAATTAAAGCAAATTAACTGTATTTTGTTTGGTAGGGACATAAGGCTAGGTAATATGCATTTTGTTGTTGCTGTTGATATCTCAAAAGATGTCTTGTCTGTTTGAACAATATTCCTGCTCAAAACGTAATCATAAACATATGTTTCACCTTTTCAGGCCGCTTTTCACATAAACAAATCCTAAAATAACTGAAGCTCCTAATTTCTCTTCATGTATGTCTTAAAATAATGAATGCACTGAAGCTTGGCCAGACACAATCACTTATTTAAGCGTCTGAGTTTGCCATGTTTATGTAGCATTCTCACCAAAAACATGGAACTACTTCTAAGATGAAAGGTTGCAGGATGGGCCCACTAGACTTAAGTTCAAAGGCATAATGAAAACTGTACTAGGTTATAACATGGAAAAATATTATTTAGCCAAAATATATTGTAATTGTCAATATATTGAATATRTTTATAAAATATATTGAAAATAATTTAGTAACATAATTTTAAATATAGTCTATGAAGTGTATTGAAGTGTGTTATATGAAGTGTACAGAGGGAACCAGAAATGTATTTTTGCCCTGTCCTGACCACTGATGTGTGGTTGTGATTACTTGTAAGAAAAATACCCAGGTGGCTACAACTGAAAAAAGACCTGTCCTTCCAGGATAGACTTTTCAAATGTGAATGAATACGACATCGCAGTCTGGAAGGTTTTCTTTGTTTTAATCCCCTCTTTAACAAAATATGTTGAAGTGCATTCTCAGAAAAGGAAAATACTAGTTAAAATATATATTAATGAAAAAATCACCTTCTTGTTTTGTTTGATTGTTTGGTAGGGTGGCCTTTGTGATGAAGAAACATCTGAATACTCACCTGCTGGGCAAGCACGGAGTTGGCACACCGAAAGAAAGGTAACCTCCTTCACAAGTCGTCTTGCTTTGGCTCAGCTAACACAGGTAGAACTTAGCTGGAATGTTCAGCATGCTCAAAGTGAAGTCACACGGAGTCTTAGCTCGACTCTACAGACTACAGAAGGAACTAGCTCACTGAGGTGCTCTGCTGAACCGCAGCCAGCAGAGTCCCTGCGGAATGGCTGTGGGTCAAGGTTGCTCTAGAAAGCACGAGTGTGCACTTGTGTGCTGTAGGATTCACAACTTCTGGGGCTGGTTTTGGGCAGGTAACATAGTTCTCAAAACTTCTGTAGCTTTAGTGTTCTCTCCAAGAGCAAAGTAAATTATTTTTCTTTTTTTTCTTGCTGGTATTGATGATCCTTGTTTACAAAATATCACGTTTCATAAAATCACTACTGAGGTTTATGTTGATTGTCAGAGTCAAAGGCACAGAAGAATCAAAACCAAACTTCTCTCAATGTTTTTGAGGAGGAACAGAGAGATTTGGTGTTTGAGCAATCTGCATTTTTTGAATCTGTATACAGTTACTTAGTTTCAGATTTTTTCATGAACAGCATTTTTTTTTTTCTGTTTTAAAATGTTTTACAACCAGTCCAGGACCATTTTCACAGATAACCAGCATTTGCCTCACATTTAGTGACTACACTGTGGCTTTGCTATTTCATCCAGTGTGAGGGGTAACTTGAAATTTGATGTTTTCTGCACAGCCAAAACACCTCCTGTGGTCTCTGCATGGATGTACCCTACCCGTGGTGTTGGTCACTGAGCACCTGACACTCATTCAAGCATTACTTATGACCCTGGAACCCAGACCTCAGGGTTCAGTTCCTGTTAAAGGCATGAGAAGAGGTAGTTGGTTAAACCCTTTCCTCATGAGCTCATCGCACTTAACTGAGTCATCTAACAAGAGAGTTTTAAATTAACACACTGTGTGCACCTTATGTTTGATGAACTACATATTTAAGTGCTGCTTATACTTTTAATGAGATTTCCTCTGCAAACTGCTTAAATGAAATTGTCTTAACACGTGGTTATTTAAAGAGTATTGAGATTTTCTTTTTAATCTAAAACATACAGTAACACATAAGAACAACACTAGCCGTTCAGCTATATTAAAGTGCATGTTGGATATCTTTTGTTGTAGCAAAGCAATTATGAAAAATGTTTTGCCCTGGAAGCTGGAAGCACTCAATACAAATATCTTCTTTTACAAGGRGGTGCTTACTGTATAATATATAACATAAAGATAATTTGTGTCACCCTGGTGAAGATGTGTGCAGTAAGGGATGCACACAATAGATATCCCAGTACACTTTCTGAGCCTGGGGGGCACAGTTTTAGCAGTCGTCATCTTGCAGTGAGCTCCCAAACGAGCACGATGCTGTTATCCAGAGCCGCTGCGTTTCGTGCGTTTGTTCGAAGGCATCGTAGACTCCCCCGTTTCCCCCCTCCTCCCCGTGTTCCCCAAAGGCTTTTGGGCCATCACCCTCCGTGGCGCTAGGAGAGGGCGTCGTGGCGGGAGCCTCCCTCGGTGCGCACCGGGTGCCGGGTGCTGGGCACCGGGAGCTGCTCCCGCAGGGGCTCCCGGCGCCCCTCTGGCCCTGGAGCAGAGGAGCTGTCCGGGAGGTGCCCTCCGCGCTGCCCTTCCCGAGGCTGCTTCCAGGGACTTCTTGCTGCTCCCCCTGAACTTTCTCATCCTGTCTTGGAATATTTCTTGTCCGCAGTACTTCTCTAGCTGGCACTTGGGCTTGACGTGCAGCACAACCAAGT